TCTGCGCAGAGTGGCGCTCCTAGTACGTGCTCGCCTCTCGTTCAACTTCTGATGCTTGGTAATGATTAATGCGGACCATCTGTAATAGCGGAAGACATTCTTGACGAATCCCAACCGTGACTTCTGGGATGCAGCCAACAAGAACCTTGCAGAGATTCGCAACGTGGCCGGCAGCAATCCCAAGAAGATGACCAAGATTTTTAGCAAGATCTTAGCGAATGATCGGGCTACTCACGGTGTCACTGAGGAGGGTGAGGATAGCGACATTCAGGAACAAATTCCGGAGTGGCAGCAGGCTGTCGATGAATTTGTCGGTGGTCAAGTTTAGTTTTACGGCAGTGTCACAATGTATTATATTACCGCAATTGCAAGCACTCAATGAAGTTATCGTTACATTAAGGCCGTCTGATACACCCGCTGTACGCTGTCGACTACTCCGTGAACTCGGCAAGATGACAGACTATCAGAGTTTCGAAGGTCACAAGTACACGGGTGGCTTCTACCAGCGAAGACATGTCTCTACCACCCGTCTTCACGCCTGGCTTTCATCCGCGTCTGGAATTGCTCCGTGGCCAGAGGCGAAATATGGTGGAAATCGGGCGCTCACGTGTCTTATTTGGGCGTCATCGTCCAGGAACTTTCCAGTACCTCCCGTCTGGTCACCACCCGTAGAACTTTTGGCGGTGTAGCCGAGGTCATGTGCAAGCGCGTCATACGAACGTGCGCGTGGGAAAGTTCTTAGGCGTCTCAAATATTTCTTTTTATGGGTCAGAAAGCCGTCAAAGACTGGTACACTCAACAACACTCAGCAGCGCCGAAATAGCTATGAGTACCCTAGACACCATCGAAGCTAACCAAGAAACATTCGGTGCTATGGATGCAGGATATCTTGACAGCGTCAGGCCTGCCGTGAGTCCTCAGCCTGCTCCTAAACTTGACTTCAAAATTTGTAGCTAATTGTCTGTCTTTTCTCCCCTGCTACCTTTACTGCTTCGCAGATGCATCTCAATTGGGATATACTCGTTGAGATCATGTTTTTCTCAGACCGCGCAGACGCTAGTCGAATGTCGCGGACTTGTCGCACTCTCCTTCAAGCCGCCCCGCAAACCCTGCTGTCACGGAATGAAGCCTTTCCGCTCTTGGAGCGTCAGCAGCTGTTGTCGTTTCTCCTATTTATGTTCTGTGGAAGGCACAACGGCTTCCGCTACTTAAACCAATTGAGACTGTATGAGGTATGGCGGAGCCTCCCGCAGCTAGAAGAGCACCTTACAGATCTATTTATGCAAGCCACGGAACTCAAGCTCGTTACGCTGGAAGGAGAGAAGGTGGAACTTGGCGAGCGGGTATCCTATGCCTTCGCGAATCTGACCAAGCTACGAACACTCAAGATTGACGCTGTCACCGATCGCACAGCTGAGCTGTTCAAGAAGATGCAGGCACCGCTTACGGGCATTGACGCGAACTTCCTCGGCTACCACGATTCGGTTGACCCTATCCCGATGTTTGCGCATTTCAAGCATTCACTGCGCGCCATGAACCTGTCTTTCGCCGGCTTCTCCAGCACCGAGATCCAATATCCCCGCGTCGTCAGCCTTTCCGCGGAATACTGCGAGTATCAAAACCTAGTGTCCATCGTGCACTGTTTCCCGAGTCTACGTGATCTCAGTCTTCACGCGATGGAAGAAGACTTGGATATGCAGCAGGAGATTAGTATAACTGAGGAAGAGCGACTGTCGAGCCTTGCATCACAAACACGTCGTACACAGTGGCCATCACTCCATCGACTCTCAGGTGGTGTCCGGGAGCTATACACGCTCGGAATACGCTGCAGGGTAGATCACGTCGACGTAGCCCGTTGGCCGCTGAACTCGGCGGTCGATGGTCAAAGACTCGCTGCCATCGTTGCCGACGTTCGCCCGACAAGCCTTGATGCCAGGCTCCTATTACCGGAATTTGAGTTATTGTCGCTAGCCGAGCATCTGACTTGCGTGAGAGACGAGTTAGTCGGGCTCAGGCTACGCCTTGACTACCAGTACGAGGAGCCCTGTCCCTGTTCTGCACAGCACGAGGACCCCTGTTCCAATGTGGTACGTATCTGTCCTGTATCAATGAATTCTACAAGCTGATTCATTCGTTACCAGATTGACATGCTCGAAACGCTATCAACATTCCGCCTGCATACTCTCGACATATATGTAAGCTGGCAGTGCGATTGGACGGACGGCGTACAGGCAGCGCTTCCGAGCTGTAGTATTTCCCGGTCCATTCTAGATGATTCAAAGGAACAACCCGCCTCGGCTGAGGAAGAACCGTCCATCGAGAACCTCGACGTGGGATCCATAGCGCAGCATGCTATGCGGTGCATGCCATCACTCCAATTCATCGCCATTGGTTGTGCGGTCCCAGTCAGAAGACAAGTGTTCGAAGTTACCAACAGCGAAGACGGTTCCCAGAACGGCAAGGTGTTGGTTGAGCTGGTAGCGGGATGCGCGGGATGGAAGAAATTTCACGAGTCGGTCATGTATAAGCCGTGGTGGGGCGCAGATTGTTCTTGGTATTGGGACGAGTAGACGTACAGCAATCGCAGCACGCCTGCTGGAATTCACGTCTCGCTCATGACGATCATGATACCGAGAGTGCATAGCAAAAGCAGAGCCCGGGACTCATGAGTATTCATATCTCGACGATCTTAAGACCAGA